AGACCCTTCAAGTGGCAAAGTGGTGTTGAATATACTGCATGTTTCTTATATCTTCCTTCTGCTTCTGGGGATGGGTGTGTCAGAGCATATGATGAGTGCCTCTCTTTCACCTCTGGGTATGTATGTATGTATGCATGTATGTATGTATTTATTGTTATTCTATATTATTTATGGACATGGCATTTACAAAGAGCAAGTATGAAAGTGCTTAGTGTTTAAAAGTAAAGCACAGGCTGCCCCCCTCAACTCTAACCTGATACAATAGAGCATTTCACCATCATTTTCTATACCTTTGTTACAAGAATTTTAAGGTCTTAGATATATAAAATAGATGTTCATAAATGTATCAAGCAAACACATACAAATATGTAAACCACATGTCTGACACCCACAGAAAAGTCCTGAAACCATTTTCACTCTCCCAAAATGACCTCAAATATTTCTTTGCAAGGTTGAAGGAACTGGGAATTCTCCCCACTGTCTCTCACAAATCCCACATTTAAGATATGAATAGGGCGAGCCTGTGACCTGGACTCAAGAACTGAGTATTTACCATTACAAAGGAATCGCCAGACTGTCCAAATAATGCAATCAGTTATCATTCTCAGGTAACATGGCAGACAGGTTTTCTCCTGTAGACCACCTCTTCTGTGAAGTAGGTATGATGCATCTGGGGGGTGGTTTTAAGCTACAGGGCGGGCAATTTAAAATGTCTATATAAGGGCTTGCGCGCATGGCTTGGGGTTCTCCTCTTCTCTCCTGCGTATGGGGGGAGCACCCTATTGCAACAGCTTTATTAAAGATCAGGCTTATGGCTGCTTTGCTTTTGTATATCCTGGTCTGGTCTCTGTTCATTTCCCAACCGGTTTGAGCCTTAAAAGGTACGCTCTCTCCGAAGGTCCAGTCTTCCTTAAAAAGCTGAACCCCTTGAAGGGACCCCATTTTTATTCTTATTTCACCTTGAAGCCGCTCAAAGGTGTGTGGTGGGGGGGGAACAGAAATACTGTTAGTCGAGTAAGTCCAAGGAGACTTGCTCTCTTTGTAGCCCCTGAAGAACTGCCAATTCTAAAACTGGCCCTGGATTGAAAAACCAGCCTTCTCTTTTCCCAAGCTCTGCCATTTATTTTGATTTCCCACAGATTCTGTCCCTTAAGGGCTCAGGTCTCCAGAGGTGGTAACATTCTAAGAGCACCAAAATACATGAGAAGTTGGCCGCAGCAGAATTATTTATATAATGTGAACTATGTTCTACGCGAGAGCTTGGATGTACTCTACAAATAGGTTGAAGGCTGTACTGTGGCATTCGGTTTCTTCTATTAATAATGCAGAAATGAGGATGATTTTCAAATTGCATGCTGTGAATTCTAGGAAAAGGTAAATGTGTTTTCTGCCACTAAATTAGTCACAGCAAGTCTTTGCTGAAGCATAAAATGGTGGAAATAGCACTAGAGGAAACTAAGGTGAGATTAACACAACACTCCTGTGAAAACCTATCCTGAGAGCAACCTGTCTTGAACCCAGCAGGACTTTCTAGTGAGTAAATACGCCAGGACTGGTCTGCAAGAGAATACAACAAAATTAAGTGTTTAATCAAGAGATGTGAGGAGGGGAGCACTGAACCAGGAGGCGGCATTTCAGCAGAATATGTGAAGTTAAAATCATTGCTCAGTCTTTCCTTGTGACAGTTTTCCCCTATAATTTTGCACTTGAATCAATAAAACCACTGATAATTAGTCAGAAGCCCCCATTTCAGTCTGCTGCTAAACATGATGCTGCTCCTCATGGAGGATATGGCTAATAATAATAATAATAATAATAATAATAATAATTTATTATTTGTACTCTGCCCATCTGGCTGGGTTTCCCCAGCCACTCTGGGCGGCTTCCACAGAGACCAAAAATACACTAAAATGTCACACATTAAAAACTTCCCTTAAGATGTCTTCTGAATGTCAGGTAGTTGTTTATCACTTAGACATCTGATGGGAGGGCGTTCCACAGGGCGGGCGCCACTACCGAGAAGGCCCTCTGCCTGGTTCCCTGTAGCTTTGCTTCTCGCAATGAGGGAACTGCCAGAAGGCCCTCGGAGCTGGACCTGTGTCCGGGCAAAACGATGGGGGTGGAGACACTCCTTCAGGTATACTGGACCGAGGCCGTTTAGGGCTTTAAAGCTCAACACCAACACTTTGAATTGTGCTCGGAAACGTATTGGGAGCCAATGTAGGTCTTTCAAGACCGGTGTTATGTGGTCTCGGCGGCCGCCCCCAGTCTGGCTACTTGCTATGATGGCTAAACTACGCTCCATGGTTAGAGGCAGTAATTCTTCTAAGTATCAGTTGCTAGAAGCCACAGAAGCTCAGGTCCCGCTTGCAGGTTTCCCCCAGGCATCTGGTTGGCCACTGTGAGAACAGGTTTCTGGTCTAGATGGGCCATTGGCCTGATCCAGCAGCCCCTTCCTCTGTTCTTACAAGCACAAGATTACCATCACAATACCAAGAGGCTTAAATCTCCAAATGTAGGACCATATGATTCCCTTTCCCTTAAATAAATACACCTGATTGTAGCCCACTCCCAGATCTCTTCCAATTTCCTTGCTCTTGTCTTCACACACACACCTGGCCTTGTCCAATATTTCTGCCCTAATACCTGGACACATCACTTCCTGTGACCTTTGCTTCGCTGCCTTCAGCTGTCCAAAGGCTTCTCGCTGTCCTTCCTTGTGCCTTGAACTGCCTCTTGAAACACCTCAGTCCGGCCACCTTTCTTCTTTCCTTTGTGGGAGAACCAGCCTCATATAACCAACATACTCAAATCTAATTAATGCACAAAGGGGTTAAAACCAGGCTTAGTTCACCTGGGGAGGGACTAGGTGATCAAGTCTTTGTTCGCCTTCCTAGTCTACCTGAGCTCAGTGTGTAAAGACGTCTAAGCTGGTTGCTCAGTTTAGCTGCATGACTCTATAACAAGCCTCCCTCGAGTTCCTATACCAATAATTTAGGAACTTTCACCATTTTGCCAACTAAACCAAGTTTTTATGCCCTTTTCGATTTTCTGAAGCAATGAATCTGTGACCTTTGGAGTGTTCGCAAGTTTGCACTTGCCCAAACGCGTCGGTCTCTTCTATGCTGGTGGGGAAAGGGGAGCTTTGCGAAGGAACTCAAAAGAGCATATTTTAAAGGACTAACAGCCTATATTTCCATGCTTTACTTTTGCTGCATATTTTGTGATTTAAGATCTCCTGCTGATGTTTCTTCGCAAAGAGCTCTTGTCTCCATAAACCTTGATCTTGGCATCCAGGAATTCTGCTCTCTTTACACCTATTTTAATCCTTGCACCTACATCCTTGAAGTCCCTTCTCAAAACAGCTTTTATGTGAGATCTCTGCACCATCCTGGGAGTCTCCACACCACACTGCAGTGGTCCCCAACCTTTTTAGGCTCAGTGGGTATATTTAGATTTTTAAGTGACAGGCGCAATCCCCCTCTGCTCACTTCTCTCTCTTTCACCATTAATTTGCCCAATATAAACAGCAATCATGAACAGGCAAGAAAACACTCAATATCCCCCTTTTATTAACAAACTTTTAGGGCAGAAGTTTTACATCACATTTTTGAAACAAAGAGAGCGATCTCCTCGCAGTGTTAATAAACCAACTCTTGCAGCAGCAATGTGAAGACAACCCCAACTGAAATTCCCGAATAAGTTTGTGTCAAGTTCCGTTACAGAAAAAGCCAGATCACTCTCTGCCCGAGAGCAAAGGCCACGCAAACCCATTTGTGTACTTAGGTCTCTCAGGGGAAAGGTCTGCCTGAAAACACAGAATGGATAAAGCATTAGCTTTCAGAGAGACACCACTTGGAGCAATGCTAGGAAAGAACAAGAAGTGCCCATAGGGGCAGAATGCTGGCATCTTTCCCCGAAACCCTGTAAGCAGACTGCACACAGTTACAGAAGCAAGCTTGAAGAGGTTCTCGTTTCAATGGCTCCGATGTCGTACCCTGGGGGTTCCCTTATGGCCAACACCTCTGCCGTGATGGGAGGTCTGAAACAGTCAGAAGAGCCTGCTCACCGAGACGCCAGGCCTCTTCAACACACCTGGATACCAGCCACAGAGTCAGCAACCCTCATCTTCTCATCCTGAAGCGGGCCTTTTCAGCATCAATCCTCTTTCCTCAGAGGTAGCCCCATTCGTGCTTCCTCTTCACTGGTTCTGCTGCTTTGGGGAATGGTCAGAATCTGTAGCCGTGAGAGAGAGCATGAGATAACAGGCTACTTGCTTTGAGGAAAGAAAGAACTGAAATAATATTATGATTGAGATAGGTAAATGGAACCAATCAATTCAGAGCTCTGTGGGATCAGATGGTGGAGATAAAATGCATTTCTGGCCTGCTTGTGAGCTTCCAGAGGTATGGCTGGCCACTTACAGTTGAGGTTTTTTGGTCTCTCCCAGCAAAGGCAAGGCAGTTCTTTTCTCCTGCCTCCCCAAAATGGCGAGGCATATTTTAGGCCAGGGATGTGGAACCTGTGGCCCTCCAGATGCCAGAGTACAACTCCCATCCCTGACCATTGGGCGTGTTGGGTAGGGATGATAGGAGTTGGTGTCCAAAAAATTCTGGCAGGCCTGTTTTATGGGAGGAGCAATCCTCCTAATTCTCCAACTCTCTCAGACTGGTAGGGACAACAACATTGGGCAACTCTTCCCCATTTCAAGAATCAAGGTCATGTTCCCCACTGGGCTGCGAACTCTACAGCCTCCCCTTCCTACAGACATTGCTGCACTTCGGTGAACCCCCAAAAACTTGGAAGCAACAGTCCTCCCATTGCCTCAGGCACCCAGGATTTAGGATTACTTATACGGGACAGCTCCTCCTTCCTTGGTTTTGCAGATATTTGAGAGTTCTTTGTCCCTGCAGAGGGGGCAGCTGCTTTGCCTCAACTCATCCGAGTCCATGGAGCTTCTGATCCTCCAATACTGCCTTGGTGCCCTCCAGATGTTCTGGACTACAATTCCCATCAGTGCTGGTTGAGACTGATAGGAATTGTAGTCCAAAAGGGGATTGGGTTGGGGAAGGCTGCTCTATGCAACCTCTTTCTCTCTCATCAGGAGCTGTGGCTGTCATTTGGTCTGACTACCCTGACAGATCCCAAAGGACTTCCCTGGAAGATACCCACATCTTGATGCAGGCAACAAGCTGCAGAAGCTCAACTCATTTCAGTGGGGACTTGAGAGCAGAAGGAGTTTCCTGGTGAACTGAACTCCAGAAGATGTGTTTTCACATTACCTGCATGTTCGCTCTTTTGTTCAAGCTTACTCTTCTTCGCCAGCATTTTCTTCTCTTTCAACTTCTGCCTGTAAATCAAGGATTAAATGCTCCAAATGAACAAGCTGCCCTTTGCCCCAACATTCTGGCAGATTCCAACCCTGATGCTAGCAAAAAGAGAACTGAGCTGTGCAGTTGTTCAAACGCCAATTCTTACTGCTCTGGAACCCAACCGATTTCACTGCTGATGGAAGAGCATGTGAACAGCTTTGAAACATGTTTGCCTTGTTTACAGGAGGGAACTGCTATCTGTTCCCAAATTATCCTAGAGGTAGGATGAAATTTGCCTCTCTAGGAAACTGTTTCCAGGAACTGCAGACAGGTGGACTTGCAGCCACCTAGAGGTAAAAACTGGAATTATTCCTTCATAGGACTGGCAGCTACATACTGTATCCTGTTTTTCTGTCATGGAGATTTCCCCCACTAAGGCTCCTAGCCACATGGAAAATCAGACCTCTATGCCAATCACGGCAGAACACTGTTGAGATCAAATCTGCTGTCTACACAAGCTGCCTTCCCATGGCAAGAATTTCTCCTCACCCTGCGCCTGCAATTATTTAAGGGAAAACAAGATAGGTAGCTCCATGCTATGTATTAAGGAAGAATCTCTAGTCTGGCCCTTAAGTCATTTTGGACTGTAAACAAATATTGAACTATTGCCCTTGACCCTTCCTGCCTCCCCTCATTCTGGATCCTGTTTCCCTAGGCTTCCTGTACAACTTTGACCTCACCGTTTCCTTCTGCGCTTGGCTGTCTGTTCTTCCGCAACAATCTTGTTCTTTTCTAGCTTCTTCTGATATTCCTCATCCAGTTTTTGCTGCGACAAATCACAGGGAACATGTCATTACAATCCCAGGGCGGGCTGCAACAATTTATTATTTAGAAAGCTGAAACAAATTACAGTCACGGGAATAGGGTGGGTTTTGAAAACACCTTTTTCAGGTGCAAAGGTCAGAGCGAAGAGGTGCCATTTTCAGCATTCCATGAAAACTGTAGAGTGAAAGTGGCAGGCACACCTCTCCGGGGAAGCAATTCAACAACCGAGGAGCTGCTGCAGGGAATGCCCTCTCCCAGGCTGCCACCCCCAAACTTCAGAGGATGGCACAACTACCAAGAGGTAATTCTCCACTGATTTTAACACCTGATAGGGTCTGTAGGGAAGGAGGCAGTACAACAACTCAGAAACGGTAAGCCAAAGGAATCACCCAACCTTTTCAGCCATGGCATCCATAAAATCTTGCCTCTGGTATTCTCGCCGGCGAAGGTGTCGGTAGACGTGGAATTCCCCACTGCCAGCCCCAGCACTGGAACCTGCCAAGGAAGGGGTCACAGCTTATTGACAGAGCAGGTGCATTACAAGTGCAGGGGGCGACCCTGGTGCCTCCTAGGATCTCAGGTAGCAGGCGATGAGAAAGCTGCTGCCAGTCAGAGGAGACAATACAGTGGTACCTCGGGTTACATACGCTTCAAGTTACAGACTCCTCTAACCCAGAAATAGTACCTCAGGTTAAGAACTTTGCTTCAGGATGAGAACAGAAATCGTGCTCCGGTGGCGCAGCAGCAGCAGGAGGCCCCATTAGCTAAAGTGGTCCTTCACGTTAAGAACAGTTTCAGGTTAAGTAGGGACCTCCGGAACGAATTAAGTACTTAACCCGAGATACCACTGTAGTTGGCTAGATGAACAAGGGCAGGCTTGACTCTATGAAAGGCAGCTTCACTAGTGGCTTGATCACATTTCATACAACTAGGAAATTAGTCTGAGCCTGAAAAGAAATTCTCCTTTTCATATATGGGGGAAAAAACCAAATGTACACAGAAAGCTTGCTGGGAAACCAGCAGCCACACTAGGGACCTTGCTTTTGGGGACTCCTAGAAACCTTGTTCGCTCCATTTTCTCCTTGCCCTTCCTTTGGCTGGAATAGAGCAAATGCTATCACCGCTTTCCTCTTTGGTTTGTTGTGCTGATGATAGGAAGGCAAATACAGTGGTGCCCCGCAAGACGAATGCCTCGCAAGACGGAAAACCCGCTAGATGAAAGGGTTTTCCGTTTTGGAGGTGCTTCACAAAACGAATTTGCTATGGGCTTACTTCGCAAGACGAAAATGTCTTGCGAGTTCCTGCAGGGTTTTTTCCCTCCCCCCCCCTTTTCCCAAGCCACTAAGCCGCTTATCAGCTGATCTGCTAAGCCGCTAAACAACTGATCTGCTAAGCCGCTTAACAGCTGATCCGCTAAGCCCGCTAAGCCACTAATAGCACTAATCCGCTAATGGGCTTGCTTCGCAAGACGAAAAAACCGCAAGACGAAGAGAATCGCGGAACGGATTATTTTCGTCTTGCGAGGCACCACTGTATTAGTTGTCTAGATACAGACTCGTAATGCTCCCTAGCACAGTGGGAAAGCTTATGATTTACCCGTGGGAATGGGATTGTGTATAAACCATGCTATAAAGACAAAGCACAAATTTGCATGTTTATTCATTGCTGGACGTTGCAGTGCAGCTCCGTTTGCACAAATTTGCATGTTTATTCATTGCTGGACGTTGCAGTGCAGCTCCGTTTGCTTAGAAGGGTCTGCATGTGGTTAAAAACCTCCAAGCCGCCTCTCTCCCTTTGATCTCTGTGCTGACCTGTCAGAGAATCTTTAGTTGTGATTCCTGTATTGCAGACAGTTGGACTAGATGGCCCTTGGGATCCCTTGCAGCTCTACAATTCTGTGATTCTGTCCTTGGAAGTCAAAGCTGCATCCTCTTTCATTTCTGTCTCCCCTCTCAAACTTTCTCTGGAACTCAAGTGGCAAGTTTATTTTGGAAGTATCTTCTGAGAACAAAGAGGCAAGCATGGCTTCTTTGTTTCACCAACTACTTAGTTAGCTAGGACAAAAGAATTCTCTCTTAAAAATAATGAACTTCCCTTAATAAACTTAAGCTTTCTTATTTTATACTAAGTCTCATTCTGAGTGCCTTCCAATTAAAGGTGTGCTCCAAGTAAGGATTCATTTCACTAAAGGTAACTTCTGCTGTTACACACAAACTCTATATGCTAGCATAAATTATGCTGAATTGAACAAAATTTCCAAATGTTAGTATTTTGCATATTTATTCTAGCTTTATTAGTCACAGTGAGGGTTAAGAAGCTATGATGGACACAGAGATCTTGCCTACAGGCACCTGAAAATTAATCCAGCAACTCCTCTGGTTTCTTAGATCTCAATAGACCATTTTGAAGGATATCTTTTCAGCCATGCAGGCTAGAAACCTGCTTTTCGTCTAGAGTGAAGACCAGGGTTCTCAGAAAGCAACACTCCTGTAGGATCATGACAGATACACAGAGCCCTGGCTACAGAAGACCCAGATTTGGAACCCCATTTGTCTATGCTGCTTCTCATCAGTGTAAACATTACTTTTTTAAGTGTGCACACATCTCAGAGCCTGAATCATTCACTCTTCTGATTCTCTGTGTTTATGGTAACAAACGTCACACATGATTTCAAACCGTGGGGATTCAGAAGTGTGACTCATATCAATAATCACCCAAATGCCAGTGAAAAATAATTGGTAATATGGCAAGGGCAAGATGGCTGCAAGAACACCCCCTCATCCCCTTCAAAGTTTCAAGCCCCTTATCTTATGACTACTCAATCCTCATCTATTTCCCTTCCCTATTAAGCACATTCCTCTAGAAGCACAGTGCTTAAGCTAAGAAGCCACCTAAAAATAGCTACTTACCCATAACATCTCTGACAAATTCTGGAGGCGGACGGGGTGCCCATTCATTGAGCTTTTCAGGAATTGGAACTGTCTTATCCTGCAAGAAATGAGCAATACTGTGACACTGTTTCTCTAGGAGGAGAGAGCAATTCTTCAAAGCTATTAAAGCACGGATCTAAACAGAAGTGGGAACATTAAGGAAAACAGAACTGATCTTTTTGCCCGAGAATTTATTGGGCATTTGGCTGCAGACAATAAAGTGTCACACTAGCTATATCATGGGTGATAAATCCTTTTGATCTGAGGGCTATATTCACTCTTGGCCACCCTCTGGAGATCACATGCCAGGGTGGGTGCGGCCTTCTCACACACATATACACAAAGAACACATACAGGTACATAGAGGTCACACACAGACCTCCCCTCTCCTCAACTGATCTATCTACTCTTATTACCCCATGTATCAAATGATCGAGCTGATGACTGGGGTAGGGATGACTTGCATCCCCATCAGCGTGCTGGATTGGGAAGTTTGCACTTCTCTGCCTGCCTCAGTGTTGCAGCTTATCTACAGTGGTACCCTGGGTTAAGTACTTAATTCGTTCCAGAGGTCCGTTCTTAACCTGAAACTGTTCTTAACCTGAAGCACCACTTTCGCTAATGGGGCCTCCTGCTGCCACTGCGCCACCGGAGTATGATTTCTGTTCTCATCCTGAAGCAAAGTTCTTAACCCGAGGTACGATTTCTGGGTTAGCGGAGTCTGTAACCTGAAGCGTATGTAACCCGAGGTACCACTGTACTTTTTCCTTTCTTCTCCTGCTGCCAGAAAAACCAGTCAAGTGTTGGCTCAAGCTCTCAGAATGGGGATTAATCACCCTAACCCATTTTCTGTATGTGTGAGAATATAATGAAGTAACAGGTTTTCTTGCTGAATACATCCCATGCTACGTACATACATATATGCATGGATGTGCACGCACACACATGCATACACACAGAGCAGCTCGGAGCAATGGACAGAATTGGTGAGATCTCTGCTGAATGTGCTTAGGAGAGTAGGGTCAGGTAGCTGTACCCACATATGCAGATGTGTGTTCCCTCAAAGGACTTCAGAAGGGAACTGCAGGATTAAAGTTACCGTATTTTTGCTCTATAAGACTCACTTTTTCCCTCCTAAAAAGTAAGCGGAAATGTGTGTGCATCTTATGGAGCGAATGCAAGCTGTGCTGCTATCCCAGAAGCCAGAACAGCAAGAGTGATTGCTGCTTTCACTGTGCAGCGATCCCTCATGCTGTTCTGGCTTCTGAGATTCAGAATATTTTTTTTCTTGTTTTCCTCCTCCAAAAAGTAGGTGCGTCTTGTGGTCTGGTGCGTCTTATAGAGCGAAAAATACGGTACTTATGAGTAAAGGCACTAGAATGAGATAGGATGTGAAGAATAGGACACTAAGCTCTCCCCTGCCCTTCTCCACAAGCACTCACTGCAATAACTACACAAGTGGAATTTATGCATTTAACTGCATTTAGGAATCTACACACACAAAGTGTTCAGGGCAATGCACATTTAAAAGCATGTTCTACGCAGGACTGCAGTCCCCTTCTGGGAGTAAGCCTCATTAAGTGGAGACTCAAGTCACCTCCAGATGTTGGTGTGGGGGGACTAGACCACATTGCATCAAAGCAAGCGTTATCCCACACATTTCAATGCATCTTCCTGTCACTTTCTGTAGCAGTTAATTCCGATCTTTCACGGAAGAACTTTTATTGCGCAAAAGCTTCACATCAGCTTTCTTTGTGCAGCCTGAGCTTGCCAGGATATGGCTGAATCCCACCTGAAAACACTGACAGCCTGGAAGCACCTTTACTTCAGAGTCAACATGCACTATGTTGTAAGAATAAGTAACTTTTACTTGTTGGGCTGCTCACACTTTTAAAGATCCGCTTCAGAGGCTCTCCAAGTGTCCTGACTCCCTGGTAAGGTGGGTGGCCATGTGGGAGAGGCCCTTCTTTATGGTAGCCTCACAGCTATGGAATTTCCTTCCCTCAGATATAGTGGTACCTCGGGTTATATACGCTTCAGGTTACATACGCTTCAGGTTACAGACTCCACTAACCCAGAAATAGTGCTTCAGGTTAAGAACTTTGCTTCAGGTTGAGAACAGAAATCGTGCTCCGGCGGCGTGACAGCAGCAGAAGGCCCCATTAGCTAAAGTGGTGCTTCAGGTTAAGAACAGTTTCAGGTTAAGAACGGACCTCCGGAACGAATTAAGTACTTAACCCGAGGTACCACTGTATTTCCAAATTGCAGGCTTTTTGAAAAGGCCTATAATCTTCAATTGGCCTTTCAGGCATGATGTTTATTAGCTGAGAGATGGCCTGGGTGAATAAGTTTTTATCTGGCTCTGTTAAAAAGAAATTTATTGCTGAGTTGTAGTTTTAAAACTTTGCATTGCTGTTCCTTGTATCTTTTTGTTGTTTTTGATTGTACTTCAGTTTGAAAAGGCATCTGCACAGAAAAGCAGCCATATATATATATATACATATTTTAATGGATGACCATTTAAATATATGCCTTCTCTTTTTATGCTGCAGAGTAGGCAAGCACAAAGTAACAGCAGTCTGTTGGGAGTGCTCTAGGCTGTAAGGTCTATAGGCAGATGCCTACTCCCACCAAGTACAAAACCAATGAGATTCAAACTACATTTGTAATTTGCCTCAAAGACCTAAATAGGGGGAAAGCAACATATAAATTTGTTCAATAAATGCATACATGCAAGCCAAGAAACACAAAGGCGGAAGGAGATACTCACTGCCAAAGGGCCTGGTTAAACAGGATGGGATGAGGGCACCAACACCTTCAACTTCGTATCAGAGTATAGACTCATATTGTGTTGTGCCACACGATCTAAGAAACTCCCACCCTACTTGTTTCACTTTTGGGGCACCAGGCAAACTCTATTCTATTCTATTCTATTCTCCCAGACCTCTAAAGTTCTCATTCCACCCTTCATTTTTGTTTTGGCCATCATTTTTGATGAGTGGTCTAGTATTACCTAATAATGCAAATGAATAGGGGAAGGATAGGGATCAACAGGATTGTGGCATAGGAACATAAGGAGAGCCCTGCTGAATAAGACTAGAAGCCAAGAATCCTCTTTCCCCGCAGTGGCTAACAGAATACCCCTGGGACACCCATGATCACAGCATGAGCACGATAGCACTTTTCTGCTGTTGTTCCCTAGCAACTGGTCTTCCGAGACACTCTGCCTTTCTTTCACGCTAGAGGTAGAATATAGCCATAATGCAGCCTTTATCCTCCATCAGCTTCCCCATTTCCTTTTAAAGCCTTCTAAGTTGATGTCCACTGCCACGTCCTGTGACAGTGAGTTCCACAGATTCCATACTGTGTGAAGAAGTCCTTCCTTTCGTCTGTCCTGACCAACCAGCTTCATCATAAAAACTCAGGTTCCAGTATTATGAGAGAGGAGCGGGGCGCGCGCACGTGGAATTTCCCCCTTATGTGCACTTGATTCCCCCTGTGGGTAAGCAAATACAGCGGTACCTCGGGTTAAGTACTTAATTCATTCCAGAGGTCCGTTCTTAACCTGAAACTGTTCTTAATCTGAAGCACCACTTTAGCTAATGGGGCCTCCTCCTGCTGCCGCGCCGCTGGAGCACGATTTCTGTTCTTATTCTGAAACAAAGTTCTTAACCCGAGGTACTATTTCTGGGTTAGCGGAGTCTGTAACCTGAAGCGTATGTAACCCGAGGTACCACTGTACTCCCTTCTTCATACAAGTTAACTAGGAATCGGGGGAGGGGAAAATATATTAGTGGGCAAGCCTGGTGAGGGCAGATCAGGACTGCCAAATATAAGAGAAAAGAGGAAATAAAAGGGGGGTGATCTACCTCTTCATTGAAGCAAACTGAGTAAGAGGTAGTTAATGAGGGGGGGGGGGTTCCACCTCACCTATCCCCAACTGGAGGCCCTGGTGCCTACACTGCAGGGGTGGGAGCGGGGAGAAGTAGCCACGCCCACCAACACTTATGCCCCGCCCCCTCACCGGATTCCTCATGAGCCTCTCCAGCTTCAGACGCTGCTCGTCCGCTGCGCTCCGGGGGATGACCAGCGGCTGCGGTTCCTTGCGGGGCCGGGAGGGCCGCGTCGGCCCCGCCGCCATCCTGCCCCCCCCTTTTTGGTTTCCCCTCCGCCTTCTCCTGCGCAAAAGGCCGCGGCCCCGACCGATGACGTCACGGAGGGCGACGGTCATAGAGGCATCTTTCGAAAGGGGCGGGGCGGCGGGGCTCCCTCCCTTTCCTTGTCCCGCGCCTTCCCCTTCGCTCCGCCTCCTTTCCGGCAATATTCATGAGGTCTGTTACATATTAATAAAGGCGCGAAAAACAGGCCAGAAACGCCGGTTGGTTTTTCTTTCGAAATGCGTGTTAAGCGTCGCTTCTGAGGCGATGGGGGAGGGGGGAGTTCCCAGAATCCTTCGCGGTCTTTTTTTTTTTGCATTCTGTTTTTCTTTATATGCCAAATTTAATTATCCTTCACACAACGTAAGGATTAGTTTTGTTTCTTTTATTCTCAGGGCTTGGCAGCTAGTGATAATTTTTTAAAAATAAAAAATGCACCACAGCATTAAGTTATACCAATGGTGTCACTGTTAGTTGCCAGCTGCTTCGAGGAACTTTATTGTTCAAACGTTAAAGCTTCATATTCCTACATTGCAGAGGGTTGAGCCAGATGATCCTCAGGGTCCCTTCCAACCCTACAATTCCTATTCACGCTGTTGATGAACATATTGCCTGGCAACTTTAAAAAAATACCAGTTACCCGGTACCTATTGCACTTTTAAGTGGTGACCTTGCACTCCATCATAGATATACTAGCACAGATTTTAGCTGTTTTGATATGCACTGCCAGCAGGAGCTTTCAGCAGAGTCTCTTAGCTTACAGCAACAGCCTAACCTTTATAACCTAGGAAAGCAGAGCTTGTGGTGTGTGTATTTTTTTTAAAGGAGGCTGAGTTAAGTGATATTTTAAATAGATTAATTCATGATCTTTCCCTCCTGAACCACCCACCCAATCAACCACTTTATAGCCCTTGGCAGGGCTCTCAACATCTACAGTACAAATGTCCATGTGGGTACAAAGCAGTTGAAAAATCCACCCTAAAGGCAACAAAATTTGCTGAAATCACAGCAAGATATGGCAACTACAACAGTACACAGCAACCACCTAGCCTACTAGTCCAAAAAAACTGAACAAACCCCGGGGCAGGGGTATTTATTTGTAGCATTTAGATCCCACATTTTTCTCCAAAGAGCTCAAGGTGGCATACATAGTTCATGGCCAAGTGGGAATTTGAGCCCTGGTCTCCTGTGTTTCCTAGTCCTACACACCAACTGCTTAGCCACATTGGATGAAGTCTTAACTTTCTAAAAACCAGAATAGGGCCAATGCCAGGTGGCTTTCCAATAAGAGAATTATTCCGCACAATGATTCATACTGTTGCTGTAGATTGGACTATAAGTGAACCCACCATACACACAAAATTCACACAGTTTGGGCAGCAGTATCCTATTGAATTGAAAATATTGCATCGGGTTTCTTTTAGTTTAAAAATTATATGGGACATTATCTGGGAAAAGGAAACATCATGAGAATGATTGCTCTTTTTGCACTCAGGGTTAGCAAAATGAGCAATTCAACAGCCTCCAGGGGGCTCCACTTACAAATTGCTCCATGCAGGGCAAGCGAAACCCCTGGGGATATAGCAGCAGATAGAGGAAGTCATGCTTGGCCTGCCATGAGCACAGCAGCAACCACTGCTTCCTGGCAACTGAAAGCTGCAACATGATCTGCATGCAAACCTCTACCAGGAAGTGGCAGAAGTGCCCATGGACCAGATGGTGATCAGGCCAGATGCTACATCCTCCATACAGCAGCCTGTGACCTTTTCACAGCTTTGGGTGGAACCCATCAGTTAAATGTTTTGACTCAGCCCCGCGAAATTGAAGGTTGAGGTCTATTCTCACATTGCCTTTGACTAATATTTTGCATATAGTGGCCATGTACGTGTCACCCAAAAAAAGAGGGGTGAAGATACCAGTTTGCATAATGTTTGCATTTGCTAATGCACACCAATAGGTGCAAAAAATTAATAATATTGGGGGGGGGCGAATACAATAGGTTAAGTAGAAGTACAATTTATCTCAGCATTGTGACTCTTGATGGGTAACTTCTAGGCCCTTCGTCTCCCTTATTGGGATTCTTTATCGTGAAACAGAAATTAGATGCTTTCAAACAGAGAACAGTCCTCTGTAAAGCAGGATTCTTGGACACCCTATTTGTGTATACCTGTCCTTTTGATACTTTGTTGTTCTTTACAAGAGTTACTATTTCATTGATGGCCTGCAAGCTGTTACTATTATAACATTTTTCTTCCTGGGTTATTGCGATACCTGTAGTGGCATTTTCATTATTCCTGAGGTGCATTAAGTGAGAGGCCCACTGTTGTCCGATGTTATTGCCTGGCCACCCACAATGCAAGGAGCAAACTATAAAGATTGGGAGGAAGGTCGTTCAGTGTGGCCTTATCTGGTCAAAATGGATTAGGACTCGAACCAATGGCTTCAAGTTACAAGAAAGGAGATTTTGACTATACATATGGAAAAACTTTCTGACAGTAAGAGCTGTTTGACAGTGGAACAGTCTCCCTCGGGAGGTTGTGGACTCTCCTTCCTTGGAGGTTTTAAAGCAGAGGTTGGATGGCCATCTGTCATGGATTATTTGGTTTGAGATTCCTACATTGCAGGGGGTTGGACTAGATGTCCCTTGGGGTCCCTTTCAACTCTACAATTCGATGGTTAGGACATGGGAGACAAAGGTTACAATCCCTACACTGTCATGAAGTTCACAGGGTGACATTGCACCAGTCATTGTTTCTCAGGGTTGCAGTGATGATAAAACGGGGAAGAGGGAAAACTGCATGCCACTTTGAGCTCCTGGAAGGTAAGGTGGGATATAAATACAATGGTAAATAGACTGTAAGTATTGGCAGGTGTACTTCAATCACAAATCACCAAATTCAGGCTACACAATTAAAGTGGATTTGGTGCTCTTGCACAACAGACCTGCTTCCCTCGCAAAACTGAACCGTTTGCTATGAGGATAGTGATGGGAAAATGCATTCGAAAGTATGAGATCACAATGGCTTGATCCCATTGGGCCTTCCACAGGCAAATTTTAGAATGAATGCTATATAAAGATTCTGTCCTCTGGTCAGAAATTATTGCATCTACGACTCAGTCGTCTAAAGATCTCACTGCCTTGTCGGTGTTTAAATGCATGGCTTATAATCACCAGTCTCATTTAGATACCTATTTGGACATATAGACTGCCCATATTAAGCTATCTGATTAAGTTATGACTGATGGAACAGCCTCATGTCCAACATCACCTGGCAATGTTTTTTCTTTTCTGTTATGTTCACAAATAAGAAATAAAATAAATGCTCTATAGACAGTTGGCATCATCTAACCTCCCTATAAACTTTGTGCAAACAAATAAAAATGAATGCTCATTAATCAGGTTTTCTGGAAGAAACCTCAGAATGGAACATATATCCACTCTAGAATGTGCTCCAGAATCTTTTGCAGATAATACCCTGGGAATGGCAGACAAGCTGATGTGCAAAGAGCTTGCAGAAAGCAAAAAGTCTGAACACATGTGCAGATACAGTCCCAGGAATGCTCAAAGCACTGTTATGCCTGAGCTTGCCGTGTTCTTGCAAAGGGCCTCATTTCTTAACTAATAGCTGCAATTGTAAGAAAGGAATGGTATATTGGGTGTGCAACCTCGTGCCTCCAGGGCAATGCCAATTTTGTGTCCTAAAATTATGTAGATTAAATACATTTGCCTTAGCTGTGCTTTAATTTATTTTGCTTTCATGGTTCAGGGTTTCGTAATACAGACATGATTTGGCAAGTCAACCTCCAAAAATATTTGAATTTTTTGATTAGTTGGGAAATGAAAACCCCCATATTTTCTGCCAAAAGTGATGCAAAAAATGACACGTTCTATATGGTAAAATGACTAGCAATTGCTAAAGCAATCATATTTTTGGCCATCAGAGGGCACTAGCACACTCTTTAAAATGATTTGTTAAAAAGTATTTATTAGGATGAACAGCTTTTTAAAAAGATTTGCCTTTATTTTAGACCCGTGGAACATGATGGCTGGCCATTTTTTCAAGCACCACAATACTAGATTGAAAACCATCCTTTTCCAAAGGCAATAGGCTTCTTTTAATCAGTATTAAAGTGTAAGAGATTGCTACTATATTCTCAGCATGGGGACGAAACAGAGGAACACTTAGAAGTTTAACCCCCACTGAAGTCTTTATGCGTCATGGCCACTCTTGTTAAGGGTCTGAATGTATGCAGTTTCTCAATCTGATCTTTAAATCTTGCCTGAAAGCAAGTAACACATTGACTCTTTCCTTTCCTTTCCTTTCCTATCCTAGGAGAGAGAATTGTTGCAAAACCAAATATCTCTTAGTAAGACTGACAGTCCTTTTGTCAAAATCCTCCACATATACTTGCTCCTCTCCCTGTATGAACTGACTCAGCCCCTGAACTTGTCATCTGAGGCCTTTCTCTATGTCCGCCATCCCAGAGAGAATAGCAACAAGAGAATAGGCCTTTTCTGGGGTGGCTTCCTAATTGTGGAATGCTCTCTCCAAAGAGGCTCGTCTGGTGCCATCAACATGTCTTTAGGCATGTTGTAAGAATTCTGAGGTCTCAAATATAGAATATTCATAAATGCTCACATATCTAAATATATAAGCCATGTGTCTGAAATAGTAAAGGTAAAGGTACCCCTGCCCGTACGGGACAGTCTTGCCAGACTCTAGGGTTGTGCGCCCATCTCACTCTATAGGCCGGGGGCCAGCGCTGTCTGCAGACACTTCCGGGTCACGTGGCTAGCGTGACAAGCTGCATCTGGCGAGCCAGCGCAGCACACGGAACGCCGTTTACCTTCCCGCTGGTAAGCGGTCCCTATTTATCTACTTGCACCCGGGGGTGCTTTCAAACTGCTAGGTTGGCAGGCGCTGGGACCGAGCAACGGGAGTGCACCCCGCCGCGGGGATTCGAACCGCCGACCTTTCGATCGGCAAGTCCTAGGCGCTGAGGCTTTAACCCACAGCACCACCCG